ATTCTATTCTATTTCTCCTTCGAAAATAGTAAATCGATCGTAATCGGTACGTAATCTCTTTCGTACTATTTCTCTTTCTCTACCTCCACTTCGTGACCTTTTCCTCCCTCCAGCTGAGAAAAGTATTACGTACATCAAAGATACGAGATAACAAACGTTTATTCGAACAAAAGAAAAAAGTTCTCGAATATTATTAATTCAACGACACAGAGATTTATTATTCGAAACTCTTAGCTTATTGTCGTTTGTATTATTCTAATAATAGAGTTGTGCTATTTCTTTGTATGATTCAATCTCGCGATCTTGTGTGACCACAATCAGATATTTTTGGTTCAGTTTTAACTGTGCCTCGCGAGTAATAAACTGTCGAGGGCAAGTCGAAACATTTTCGTTGATGATTTCTTGTTTGCATCGTGTCGACATTCGACGGAAATGCGGCTAAGAAATTTCAAGGACTTTTCGATGGCCTTCGCCAGAATGCAGCAGCAACTCGCCTCGATGAAATGATCCATTGGTAGCAAACGGAGGCTTGCTACTCGGAGGTGAAAGGTAATTAATCGACGACCATTGACGAGATAAAAAAATTGCCAACACCTGTTAATTGTGATCCGTATCTGCTGTCTATCTTATTAACGCCATCTTAATCGCGCTTATACAAATAATAAAATGCATACGGTATTCTTTAAAAACAGAACTCTGCCTTTTCTCTCGCTCGTGATACTTATTTATCCGCAAACGCTTTGAATAATAATTGATCTACGAGCTAAAAGTAAAAACTTGGTGTATCTTGTTTAGCTTGTAATTCGAAAAAAAAAGTATATGCATAATTTATAATGTTACAGTTATTAGAATAGAATATACACGTCGACCCAATATCTATAATATAGAGACGAATTATCGCGTAGATAAAAAAAAAGAATTTATAAAAGTAGAACATTTTTTCTTTTTCCATATTTTTCCGAATATCTCGTCTCGATAAAATCGGTAAGGAAACAAAGCTCGGCCGGTGTAAAATTAACGACATTTGACATCACGTGGGCGATGGCAATGGTCCAGCCAACTGGCGCCCGGAGTTTCATTCCATTTCCACTTTTTTCTTCCACGTTTTCGATCCATCCGTTCTTTGTTTAACTCTATAAATATAATACGACTTTTTTCTTTTTTTCAGAGTAACGAAATCTATCGCGTCAATCTTTCATAATCTTTCTGCTCAAGAATTTTCCATTAATGATTCCATAAAACATTTTCAATAGACGTTTGTTCATTTCTATTTTTTTTTTTTTTATTTAATCTCATCGAAAATACAAGTATTTGTTTCGATCGAATTTACTTTTTTTTTTTAACTTTTTCTCTCTTTTTGTCCTCGATGAAAACGTTTTTTAATTGCGGTCATATCTCCGCTTGTATCATTCACGCATGAATATTGCATCACATTCTCAATGCGACACGGTTGAATACAAATGATGTGGAACGTAAAAATATCGTGAAGAAGAAAGGTGAATCTCTCATTCGGTTAAATCTCTCTCGTTATTTTCGACTCGTCAACAATCGGCGGCGATTTTCCCCGATCGGAAATCGTATTTTTCTCAGGACGATACTCAGACCGAGAATAACAAATCGGCGAATCTACGTTTGTTTCTGGCACGTCGCCCGAAGGTGGGAGTTTTATAAACTGTAGACGAATGTGTTTTTGGCGTAACGCCTATTTTTGTGCCCGCTTTCGGCGTCCTCTTTTTCTCCGATGACCGGCCGATTACGTATTATTTATATCCGCACCGTTTTCCTTTTTGTTTACTTTATTAGAGTGGGGGGAGGGGGGAACTTTTGTATCGATAAATATTGACGTTGCGTTTGACGCAAAACGCATTAAATCGAATGATCGCTTGCCAATCGATTTGTTTTGATGTTTTTTTTTAAATTTTAAAAAGAGTGTGCGAATAAAAATTAATATGAAATATCATTTTTCAAGGAAATTGCACGTAATATAAATAAATTCGAATCAAGATACGTAATTCATGGAAATTAATAGTAGAGGAAAATGAACACGAATCGAATCGCCTCCTTCACAAACGAACAAAGAAAAATTGATTATCCGAAAATTGCATCTCGTCGAGGAGTAGAAATTGATCCGAGAAGACAACGCGCTCACCCTTTTCTCGCGCGTAACGTTCGTTTAATCACGAATTCACGTATCAACAATGAAGCGAGAATGAAAACGTCAGGCGATTTAACGATGCTTCTCTTTTAATTGCGCCTCTCCACTCGAATGTCACTGAAACCATCTCGCGCGCACGATCCTTGAAACACGCCTAACATGGATGAAAGATCCACGAAGACGGAAAAGTGGGAGTTGACCTTCCGCCCATCCACAGAGAACGATCGCCTCGCTCACTGGGTTACGCTCGTCCATGGGATCGATCGTATAATTAATCATCGTGATTATAATATCACTCGTCTAAGAGATCTTAATTTTCGGTTGAAACGTTGTTACAAAACTCCAATTATTTATGGCGGACGATTTGAACAACTCCGTTTTAACATGTCGCCGTTCAACCTCGGATCGGAACACGAAAGTGAAAGCGATCTTGAAATCTCGCCTGCTAGATTTATTTTGAAATAATTTTTAAAGCATTGGCGGCCATTGTGCGAGGGGAAATTGTCACGAGCCATTATTCTTTTTTTTTTTGTCAAACACGCGACAAAGGAATATTATAAACGAGCGTTGGAAGATAAATCTCTGATCTTTCTCTCGCGTGATACCAATCGTATTGCTGTCCTTCTCGAGTTGATTATCCATTTCATACATGTACGAAACATGTGTGAATAAGAAAAAAAAAAAAAAAGGTGCTCAAAGGCCGAGCAAAAAGTCCAGTAATAGCTCGTCTTGAACGTATCCATGTGTAATCACATCTCGATATCCACTTCCTCTCCACGTAAGAAAATGTATTCGAACGCGTGTGGAAGAACACGTGTAGAAAACTTTCACGAGTAATTTTTTTTGGGGGGGGGGGATATTAGAAATAACATTCGGGACTATGAGGAAAACGAATGGTTGGTAAAATAAGCGCGTATCTTCCTCTGGCGTGTTCGTTCGAATTGAAACAATACGAGTGAGATTCGGATCTTCAGACAGAAGACTGTCTTTTTTTCTTTTTCGCGAAAGATCTCCAGACGAGTAAACGTGAAACGCGTTAACCAGCGACACGGCTTATAACGACGGCCACTGTTCGCCTGTACAAGCCTCTCAAAGGCGGCGAGAGTTTTTCCACGCGGCGAGATTAATTGCTCCACGCCATCTCTCTGCCAGCGGTTATTGGCGGCTGCATTTACGGTAATTCAATGTAAATAGGGAGGGGGGAGGGGGAGGGTCGATCCTTGTACCGATACAATCGGTATTTGACAAATCGTATTTAGTCACGCGTCACTGGCACCACGCGATCCAGTTTGCGCCTTTAATTATACTTTCTTCGCGGTACTCAATTTATGACCGTTTTGCCGCCGTATTTATAAGCGTATTGAGCGTCTTCGCGTCAAGACACTTTGGATATCTCTTGAATCTTGAAATAAAACTTGTATAATTTGTGGTTTTCTCGTTGAGAAATTTTTGAGGTATTCGCGGATGGAGATTATCCTCCTCTTCTCGAGATTTCTTTTCTTCGATCCGTGTAATGGCGCATTTAATAATAACGCGTCGATCGATAGGGAGCCGACAAAATATGATATATTAGCGGATTGAATAATTCAGTGCGAAGCGGAATATATTCGGGATTGTATGCAAACAAGATATTAGTCTAAGACGGCGCTTATTTTGCGGATACGAAAAATACGGCTGTTTAATCAATATTGGATAATATCGGGTTGATATTATGGTGTTTATTCAGCTTCGTTTATTCCAGGATTTAAAATGATATAAATATCTAAGAACGGTATGTAAGTGTCATAATTTTGAATATAAGTGAATTAAAAATCGAATTGGACTTACCTCGCGAGAAAGGGTAATCCGATATAGGTAAATGAAGCACCGGTAGTTTCACCTTTCGGTTGTTCGTTATTTCGTTTTTCGTCGAGAAATTTCGCGCGTCGGAAAGATCGATGGTCGATCAAACAGAGAAAAGCGTGACACGTGACACCGTGGAGTGCCCGTCCAATACTGACTCGATCTACTTTGCGTTTTACTCGCGAGTGCGCATCGCGGCGCAGGATTAGCTTTTGCGCATGCGCGCCAGGATGCTCCAAGTCAGGTGCTCGATTCGTCGATCGCGTCAATTTCGAAGCGTGCATGACTATGTAAGATGGTTTTTTTTTTCCTCGATACTGTACTCATGACGATTCGATTTTTTCTTTTCTTTTTTTTTTTTTTTTTTTTTTTTTTAAGAAAGGAGGAAATCGTGAAACGAAGTGTTCGTTTTTGTAATTAAACCAACGATTTTATATTGCGTTCGAGATAAATGTGGAAATATACGCGAATAGAAATATACGGGATGTAAAAATTTATACGAACGTGTGTGCAAAAATTTTGAGATATATGCGAAGAATATATGAGATGTCCGATAAGTATGTGCCGAATAAAATTATAATTTTCTCTTATCACGTATATTTCCTTATAAATCGTTTTGAATATTTCTCAACCAAGAAATGGTCCATAACGGATCTATAACATTTATCTGAGATTAAATGGAGTATGTTAGGTGTTAAATCTAGCACGCTTGCGCGTGTGCGTTTGTAGCGCGAGCGAGAGAAGTATGCGCAAGCGTAGTTTGTCCGGTCAGTGCGTTCGCAGAAGTCGAGCTACTCCTACGTACAGGGACGGGTAAATTCTAATGCTTCTGTAAAATGTCTATTAAAGGCACTTCGTGTTAACATGAAAAACAATGAATATTTTATTCGTTAGAAATATAATTTTACCATCTCCTTATTCGTAATTGTATATCGATTATGCAAATTAGAAATAGCTTCATCCTCTTACGATGATGTCATGTTGGTAAATGATGTAGGATGTTAATGTTTATTTAGATAATTACAATTTATTACAAATTCTTTGCTTTAATTTTACTTTATAATAAAATAATCAAGTACTAGATTTATTTATTTTATAATTTCCAAAGTATTAGGATTATACTTTGAAAAAAGTTTCATCAGCTGGATAATTGTTAGAGAAATTGTTGCTGCAATCTAATTTAAGTAAAAGTTTAATTTAAAAGATCAATTTTATAAGAAGTTGTGTGTAGAATTATAAATTATAATTATTTAATTAATTGTAAGTAAATTATTAGATAGAAAAATTGTTTCTATAAATAGCTATTTTCTTTAATAGAATACGTCCCTGTCTGTGCCATATTTCTTTTCTTTCGCCCACGGTGCCACAATCCTTAGTATCCACTTCTACCTTAAGAATCGTTATTTATGGTAATAACGTATCACGAGGAACGCATCGATACTACTTTTATATTCAAACGGTTTACAGTTAAATATCTTATAACAATTAAATTCTTGTCAAATAATACAATGAATTTAACGAATTCTTTACTATAATACAACTTTTGATAATTATGATAAATCTTACTTGTTAAATTATAATTAGAAATAGATAGATATAAAGAATCGTAAAGAAATATATATATATATATATATATTAAAATATAAACAATTGTATCTTGATATGAATTTAAAAATTATTCAAATGAATATGCAAATAAAAGAACAGGAATAATAATTCTATACTGACGAAATAGAAACTGAACGAATCTGTTGATGATGTCATTCTCGCAATTCCTGTTCATTCGTTATAATAGAATCTATACAATTTATTAAATTTTTTATAATATAATTATTTTTCAGAGTTATTATTTTATCGAGATAAAATTGAATTTTACTAATTTTTGTACGTTATTTTATAAATTATAATGAAAAGAAATATTTATGTTATATCGGTTTATATATTTTTATTATATTTCTATAATCTTAAAAAATTAATAATATAAAAATTTCTTACATTTTTTTCAATTTTTAGTTTTCATTTTTTTTTAAAATTTATATTATAAAATTAAGAATGTTTAAATATTAAAAAAATACTTTAAAATAAATAAAAAACTTTATCGTATCGTAGAAATGTTGTAAAAGAATAGATTTCTTTATATTCTTTAAATGGAAATATTTTATCGATAGGATAATAAATTATTATGATCTTAAAAAGATAACTTACCATTTGTAGAAAATATCACATGATTGATTATCCATTATAACGATGATATAATATTCGCGAAATATTTTATAATATTATAATATTATAATATTCATATAATATATATATATATGTAAAATAAAAATATTCGCAAAGTTTGTGTATGATTTTAAATTATATATAAGAACGAATATAAACACATATCGACCGTTTGTATATACGCGCGTATACTACGCGTTAAGCCTCAGTTCGGTCGATACCGTTGTACCGTGTGGACGTATCGAAAGTATCTTTTTCAAATATTAAAATATTTAATGTATAATTTATAATTTTCGTTTAATATTTTAGTAATAGTATCTTAATAAATTTTCATATATTATTGTTATATAACTTAACGTTTGTAAATAACATAATAATTGTTCGATCTATAATAACAAAACGTACCGATAGTAGGTGAGAATGAAACGCGATCACTTTCGTACCGACAGTCGAGAATAAAACGCGATCACTTTTGTATCGACAGTCCAAAATCGCGCGTATTTTAAAAATTTACTTCATTTAATCTTATTTTTATTTTGATTTCGTCTGTGACAAATTCTAAATTTTTTATTTTTCTTTTTTCAATCAATATTCCAACGATAAAAAGAAAAAGAATAATACATAATAGAACAACTTTTATATCAATTTAACTAATAATTTTTTCAAGTCTCAAATACATTTCTAAATTAATCTCTTCTTTCCGAATTTTATATGGCTATGGCAAATTTCTAATTCAATTATAGCAGACAGTTCATCCTTTCTGCTGGTACACGTCTTTCGCGTTACGTGACTGTTCATTCTCTTTGTGCGAACGAGACAAGGAACTACGTATACAACGAAGCCAGTATTGTGCACACGCGCAAAACCGTAGGTAGTAATTTTCTCTGTTCTGGGTTCGCAATAAGGGTAGAGGGCAAACGCCGACAGAAGGTTGCTCCCATAGGTGGGGAATGCATCGGATGGTGGTGGGAAAGAAGGAACGATTGGTAAGGTTCTGTTGGTACAAGTGCTAACACGCTTGGAACGATGTGCGTGTGGTGTTAACCAGCAACTCTCACTCGAGAAAAGGAACGTCAATGGCAAAAGAGTACGTAGCGAAGTGCTAAGAAAAAAAAGAAAAAAGATGTGTGGTTGTCACTACGCCGTATAAACAGACGCCCGACCATTTCGATTTTTACGTGCTGGTCGCATCATTCGTGCGGATCTTGCAATATGGCTGATGACGTTGAACAAAGTACTGTATCGTAGCGATTCCAAATTCGATGTTAATTATATTACATTCATTTATGTAATTTTCACTTCAAGATAATATGGAAATGATTATTCATTTGCCGTTCACTAGGGTGATGTGATTTCGTTTAAATTTTAATTTATTCATAGGAAGATATATTTTATTTATAGTGTTACGTCATTTTGTTTTTCAGTGATTAATAATAATGTGAATGAAAAATTTATCGTAAAATAGACATTTTAATATTGATTTTTATTCTTGCATCAATAATAATTTCTTTATTTTTTTTTCTTTTACTTATTTTTTCTTTTTTTCTTTTTTTTTTTTTTTTTCTTCCTTATTGGAATATTATTATGGAGACAAGTATTTGAGGTTATTTAAATTACCCGTTTTATAAGAAATTCTTTTCGTTGTAAATTGAATTGGCATAGATGGAATACAAAAGGAATAGTCGATATCAAGAAAGTTTTAAATCCAATCTTTAATATTAAAGTTTAAATAACGTAGAATCGATAATTGATCGTTCCTTTGTGTTATTAATTTCATCGTTCCAGCTGTATTGAATTATCTGGTTATTTGATGTGAGAGAAAAGAATTCAGTTTCTATTAAATTATTAAAGAGATTTCGATTTGTATCTATTTATTCACCGGTGGTGGAGCTATATCCTCCTTTTTGCACAATTATTCCCGCAAATTTAGGTAATAGTAATTAGTGCACAACGTAATGAAATTATCCTCTTAAGTAAAATTGCTTTTTATATTCTTAAAAAGCGATTTAATCAGATGAATCTAAAACAGATTTGTAAATATAATAGAATTTTTTTAAATTTAAATTGTTAATTTAACAAAATGAAAATTTTTGAATATTTATAGATAATAATCTCAATAACAAACAATAATCTCATAAAAGTAAAAACTTTTAACTACGTCCCTGAGTTTACTTCTTATCCTTCCTAGGTCTGCAAGTATCTGGTAAATAAGTAGGTCTATGTTCAGAAACAAGGATCGAGGAATAAGGTTTTTAATAGAGGAAGGGAAATCGAAACAGGTACAAAGTTAAGCGGACGTTTCTTCCATTTTTTCTTTACCTTAACAACGAGTATTACCATCCTGAAAGGATCCAAATAAAGCGTTTTTCTAAAAATTTGACAAAAAAAATTGTGCGCAACTACCGTATTATTCCAAATTCCCGGAAATCTAACAATTCCACCGAACGATTTACAATATACATCGTATCTTCGAGGAAAATCGGAATCGAATTCAAGAAGATGCAGATTATCACGAGTCATCGAACCGACGCGTGGAAAGGCGCGAGCGTCTCCCTTTCAAGCTACGCTCCTGGCTACCGATCAACACGTACGCATAACTCTATACACACCGAACCAACACAGTTCCATCCGTGGAGGAGCTCTAGGCCCGTGAAGCACAGCGAGGGAGGAAACGCAGAGCGGCGAACGTCATCGGTGGCAGGGAATGCAAAAGGCCAGATGGTGGGAGTAGTTCGGGGCTAGGTTGATGGTAGGGAAGGAGGAAAGGTGGGGAAAACGTTGGTGGTGGTGGCGGCTGCGCCGGGTATCCGGCTGGGGCAGTAGTCGGCGGCGTTTCGAATCATGTGGAGAGAGAAAGAGACGAAGAAGGAGAGAGAGGGAGAGGGTCGAATGGAATGGAAAGGCAGTCAGGTTAGCTGCGGCGCGGTAGGGGAGGGCAGGAACGAGGCAAGGCAAGCGATTTAGCTGGTGCTGGTTCGGCGAGCCACGAGTTGGAGTGGCGAGAGAGCAGCCGAGGTCCCGTTGCCCGTGCCTGCACCGGGAGAGGCGTCATGAAAGCGCGCCAGTTGACCGAGTGCACCTCACCTCGGACGAAACCGCGTATTTGTCGTCGTTGAGGAGAGGCCTACCTTGCCCTCTCTGCTTTCGTGGCAAGGATTCGGCCGGTGGCTCTCCTGCTCCTCGCTGTCACGCGCCTCTATTGTTTCTCCAGTGCCGGGGGGGGGAGGGGAATCTTGGTTTTCGCCAGTATCCGGATAGGATAGCGGCGCGCGTATCCGTGTCGTGTGTCGGTCGAGACGTACTCGATTTTCGTCATTCGTAACCCGTGTGTACCCGTTTCAAGAGAGAAGTTTCACCCAGTCAATAGTGTGCGAGTGAGTGTACGCGATGCGTGAGACGTGTCGTTTGGATTGATCATCGCGGATGTCTACGCTTCGGTCTACCTTTTTGACAAGGGAGTTCGAGTGGGTGGAAAAGGACGAAGGAAAGAAGATTTCTCGTTTCTTCTTTCGAACGACTCGTTTTCACGTCACGCGAATTTCTCGTGGCGCGATACGTTGTTATTGACATATCGATTTGGTTGGCACGGTGCTCGTTCGTTTTTGGCATCGAATCGTGGTGGAGATCGAGAGAAGGAAACACCGAGAGGAGGAAAAACAAAAAAGGAAAAGAAGAAAAAAGAGAAAAATATGAAAACTCGTTTCTGTCAGTGAGCACGGCTCGGATGAAAGTATTAAAACGTTCTTTCTTTCGGTTTCACGTTGATAACCACCGTCGCCTCGGTGGCCTGGCGTGTTTCACCTTGACGTTGAAACGTTGAACGTACTGGCACGTTTCGGCTGATATTTCTCATCATCGAATCGAGAGAGTGTGGAAACGGAGCATTTCGACATACACGCGATATTATTTGTTATTCTTTGTTATCGTAACGATAATACCGTACACAACGTTCCACGTACGTTTCCTTTTCGATTTCGTATTTTCCGTACCCGATGATGATCGATTCGAAACGCGAAGGGAATAAAAGGAACGAAGACAGATTGGATTGGCTCGAAGATTAATTCAAATTCGTCGGGCGTTCGATGACGTATAGCTTCTCTGTATCAGCCGACGTCAACGTGGGCCGCTTTAAACAAGCGAAAGGAAACTTGTAACGCCAAAAAAAAAAAAAAGAAGTAACGATCAGACCAGAAGATTATTATTACAAACCTCGTTATAACATTCCATTTTATTTTTTAACACAAAGTAACGAAAGTTACGCAACGAGTTACCTCCTTTGTCGTAAGAAGAAGAAGAAGAAGAAGAAGAGAGAAGCGAGAAGAATATTAATCAACGTCGGATAATAATCGTCTTTGAAGTACAATTTCCTGAATCTGATATCGAACAATCGGACTGGCTGGTAACGTTAGTGACATCTCCGATTTCGGTTCGTTACCTTGGCGTTGTCTCGGGCAAGGCGGAGGGTGGCATCCCCTCGTCTCGTTATCCCATTCCACGCTCGTCGAGGGGCGAGAGACGGAACGGAAAGTCGTGCGAGAGGAGAGAAGAAAGGACAAGGGCCTTATCTAGGCCCTCTCCATTCGACAACAATCGAGTCGAAGTGAGAAAAGAAAAGAAAAGAAAACGAAAAAGATGATAGTGCACGAGCTCGTTATCAAACTTTACGTGGCCATTGTCGACTCGTTGCTCGTTGTCGGTTGCCCGTATCGTTCCAGGTAAATTCGAGTTCTGCTCGTCGCTTCATCACGTCGATGCGACTCTCGCCTGACATTCCATTATTATTATTATACGATTCTCCGTGGCGAGGATACCTCTCCCTCCGAAGGTAAAATAAGACCAGACTCGCAGTCATGACGGAATCAAGGACCAGAAGCGTAATAAGCAACGACAGAACGAGAAAAAAGGGGGAATCCTGAATCGTGGGCGAGTGATAAAGTAGTGGCGGGAGAGACGGCTCGTTGAAAAATCGAACGAGCGAATATAGGCGCGAGCTAGAGTCGAGCAGGAAGCGCGTTGGTCACACACGCGTTGTGACACGTGGTTTGGGGTACCGTTCGCAACATTCCTATCCGAGGTATCCGGAACGGGTTAGAGGAGGGAGGAGTGGTAGCGTTCCGGTTAGCCAAACCGTCGAGCCCAGCCGTCGATGGATATGGCAGCCGCTGTTGTTGCTCCTCCACGGTTCGAACGTTGTCGGCGCCGTGCTACCTGTGAATCGAGCGAACAGGTGTTGTCGCAAGGTGTTGTCCAGGCCGGGATACGTGATTCCTCGTGATAGCAGCCGCGTCGACTCTCTCAGTGGTGGTGCCGCTCGTGTTTAACTCGATCGATCGTGTGTGCGTGCGTGTTTGCGTGTGTGCGTGCGTGCGAGAAAGAGAGGGAGAGACGATTCCTCGCGTGCATTCTTAGCGACCGAAAGTGTTTGACCGAAGTGATACACGGTGAGTTTAGGCGAATCGGTAGCGAAGAGGCGCGGAGAAGTAGGCCGCGGAGAAGAGAGGAGAGGAGAGGAAAAACACACACGGTTGGGAATCGGTGCGAGGGAGAGGAAGAGAAGGAGGCAGACTCGTAGGATTGCGCTGTTGGTCCGGAAAATTAAGAGATGAAGAGCAGGATGATGGTGTCCAGGTTTCGCGGCACCTTTCTTCTGCTTCTCACGCTGCTCGCGGAGGTGAGTAAGACGATGGTGGTGGGTAATCGTATGAATCTAGGACGTGTCGTTGGAACGCCTTTCGAACGAGAGACACTCGCCGACCGGCCTCTTGTCTATGATTACGTTTCGCTCCGCTTCTTCTTTTCATCCCACCTCACTCCGAGGAAAATTTGTAACAAATTTTCCTTTTTCAATTTTTTGCAAAATAATATAAGCCTCTTGGATTATTCTGCTTCTTCTTAGGTGAAAATGTTAAAAAACGTGGAATGATTAATAATACAAGGTATTATAGATTATCGTTATCCAGATAGATTATCATCGGTCTCGAAATCGATCGATATCGTTTCGAAAGGGAAAAAATTTACTATATTATTTACTTTGTTTGCTTTATCATGTAGAAAAGAAAAAAAAAATTCTAAGAGAGACAACTTCCTGTCCCGTTACACACACACACACACACACACACACACACAATAATCGAGCTAACATCGAAATTTGACAAGTCACGAGTCACCAATGCTAATAAATTCTTGCGCAACGGAGATTGGAAATGGAACATAGTAACGTTCTAGAAGTAAATTTTTACGAGCCGATTGCCCCATTCGACTGTCTGACTTAATCGAAGTGAAAATTTTCCAAGCCCGATTCGAAGGAGATTCGAAGCAAGTTTCGCGGTGTGTCTCGAGTGCGAGTATCTCGTCTCTCGAGTTGTGGTCGGCGATCGGTGAAGGGGAACGGACACAGGTCGGTATCTAGTCTTCTTTTGCTCGGCCGATTTGTGTCCCCGGGTTGCGAAACTCGTCGTCTCACTTTCCCAACCTATGAGAGAACGTATCCAATGCGTTTGACCTCTTGAATTCGAATCAAAATCGCTTATCCAAAATCGTGTCTATCGAAATCAAAGGCGATAACAAGAAGGCGATAAAACGAATCCGTAAACGAATCGGTGAAGAAGGGAAGAAGCGGAAAGGCGTGTGACGATGGATTTCGTCGGCAAATAAGTAATAAAAAAGAATAATGTATCTGATAGGATATAAAAAAAATTTACAATTATACCGTAAAATTTACATTCATGCACATCCCCACGCGCGCATGGAATAATTAATTAAACGAAAATAAGAATAGCGCGTGATGGCGCATAAAAATTCAACGTTTCAGCGAAATTTTTTTCACTCGAAGCTGTGAAAGTATGTATGGCTGTCACCGATGATTAAAAATTGTCGTAAAACAACCGTTGAAACAAATGAAACTCGAAGAATCGGCCTGTAGCCGCATCGCTGTTTATCGAGTAAAGGAAAGTTTCCTCGGCGAAAGTTAAGTTTCTGCCGAGTTCTGCCGGTGAATGGTCGCCCCGTTCGATCATGGCCAACGCCCATTTCGATTGTTTTTTTGAAATTACCGATATATACCGATATATAAATATATATATATAATATTGTTTATCGTCCTCGAACAAAATCGATGATGGATGGAAACGCTAGGCCAGGTTACGCTCGGGTATACGTTGGTTAACTAGGCTAAAGTGAAAGTGAATAAAGCGGAGATTGGTATAAAAACGATGCAAGAGCAGTCCGGGATAGGACTGATAGGCGGATACAGAGAGATTCGTCGAAGGACGGAAAGGAAATGGAAGAATAGAATTTTTGTGGGTTTTCAGGTCAGAGGGTTTTGCCAATGAATCACCGTGTATTTCTAGCAAAGTCCTCCTTGATCCTTGACGAAAACAGAAGCGTAAAAAACGAAGATGCGGGAGAAAGAGAGAGAGAGAGAGAGAGAGAGGCTAAAATATAATGGAAATTACTTCGATTAGAAATAAGAGATCAATTCCAAAGGAAACGTAAACGGATGAATTAAAAGCAAAAAATCGGGAAAGAAAACACTCCGCGGTGGTCTGGCGAACAAGGAGAAATTATAATTAACCCGGCTACGCGATGCAACAGATAAAGTAACGAAATAAAACGGCCATCTGTTTCAATTTGTTGGAACGAGTTGGTTTTATGGGCGAGCGAGTATTACTTGTATCTTCGCTGTTTTTCACGCAATTAAGGTAATTATTACGGTAAAACAAAATTTTGTAACGAATGAAATATTGCGAATTATATTGTACGGGCACATTGGATATTTATTTAACATAAACGAAAATTTCGATGATAAATTTCCCATACGAAGGATTTGATAATAAAAATATGCGTTTACAATTAAAACATTTTGCATGAATTTTCTAATTCTACTTTTTACACATTACGAAATGTAACGAAGAAATATCCAATTCTTTCTTTCTTCTTTCTTTTTCCATTAATCGAATTCGAACGATATACTGTTACGCGTATCGATCGAATGGAATTAAAATATTTACCTGTTTGCTTATTTTCGTTACTTCTTCCTAAATTAGCCGTAAAATAGGATAGAAGACTTGCAGATCGTTTCGAGAGCAAATAAGACGAGATTTATCGTGCACGATTACGTCGAAGAAAAAGTAATAATCATAACCATTGCACTTGCGTCGTTGCACTTGAAAAAGGATCACGTTATAGGAAGAGATACACCTCGGTGAACCATATACTTTCTCCTCGAATAACTTCCTGCATCTTTCCCGCTCAGAAAACAACCAGCCATAACTCGTTCTGAATACCATTCTCCCATTTTTCCGAACATCTTCCGCGAATAGTTCTCCCTCTCTTTTTTTTCCTTTTCTTTTTTCTTTTTTTTTTTTTGCAATGGAATAAAAGATGCACCGGATGCTCGCTTCCTTCGTTCGTGTAACGTCGATATATCGGTGACTGCGAAATTTGCATCCGTGGTCTGCAGCCACGACACCGTTTTAACCAGAATTACTGCAACTTCCGCTTCGTTCGAATGCGAAATTTCGAACTCGTTCTCGCAAACGAATCGATTTGATATACGCAAGAAGAGAGAGAGAGAGAGAGAGAAGAATTTGTTAAATAACAAACTTTCCTCGTCAATTGTCGAAATTATATATTGGGGATGGAAAGTTCGGCTTTATACTTTATTTTATGTAACACTCGAGAATAGACTCGGTTAATTTCGATTTCGATCCAACGCTAATATTATAATACAACTGTAATAATACGTGGCCAAGTATGAAAGTGGCTGGTAGTTGCGCAAGAACGACGAAATACAAACCTTCGAGTCGAGATTTATTCCATGATCGTGTTTCTTAAATCTCAATCGATACTTCTCCCTCTCCCTCCCCTCTCTCTCTAGAGGAAAGCGACATTAATCCTTTAACACCGTGGACAAGAATTTCGAGAAACCGAATCGAATACCTGTGCTAGTATGTGGAAGGATAGATGGATGATGCAAACCGGCCGAGCGCAAAATCGTCCGCGGTATGTATTTTCGCTAGACGTGGTGGGATCGGGAGAAAGCCGTGACATTATTGGCCCAGAATTCGGGGCTCATGACCGCGCGCTAATTTTAAGCGCTTTGCTATAAGGGGACCGCGATATAAACCGACGTTTCTCAGAGAGAGAAAGAGACGAGTTACGTTACGCTCGCGTTCCGTTGGTCAACGCGAAAAAAAAAAGAAAGGAAAATTCCTCCCCCCATGCGCGTTGGAAACGCGTTTTCTCTCTAATACGGCAACCCCTTTCCAAGAGAGAGAGAGAGAGAGAGCTCCGTTGACGAGATAAAAATAAACTCGTGCTCTCAAAGGAGAAATTCGATTTACCGTGAACGACGTTTGAGGGTGGTTTCTCTCCCTTCTGCTTTTTTTTTTTTTTGATAAATCGATCGGGCCTTTTTCGATGATTCGCGGTTTGCTTTGTGCCTCGTCGTTGACGTGGAAGATCGCGGTTTTTTCCTCGACTTCTCAATCTTTCCGATGTAAAATTTTTATAATCGCGTGTACGACGTTACTTGTACGGTTGTATTCGTACGTAAGCATGGTCGGTTATGGAAAGGAGGAAAAAAGAGTTTGAGGAATGCGCGAGTTTAATGATGAACCGCAACCCTCCGCAGGTTAAATGATACCTGTTATTGTTTGTGTTTATGATTTTACGGTATTTCTGATTTTATGACAGTATTGTATTATAAATTGATTTATGAGTACTTGGCAATTCTAGGAGATGGATGCAATTATTTCCAGACAATTTCGTCTCTTGATTACTTTCTCTCTGTTAAATCGTTCTTTTTTTTATATTTAATACTTTTGATTTTACGATTTTTCAATACGAGAATTCTTCGCTTCGAAGAAACGTGACGCAAAAGCGTAGCTCGATGTTTAGTTCGCCGATCGATCGATCCTCCTCTATCTTCTCCACTCCAACCACTGGGAGGGATTCGAACTCCTGGTGGTGAAAATAATCAGGTGAGCAGTTGGACGGAATGATTTGATTTGCCTGTTGTGTGAAACGATGCTCGAGGGTGGCTACGTATCGCGGATCGATACGTAAACTGGTTCGAGAACGAGCGAAGTACAAGAAAGTTTGTATTCGAGTTATTATTAGAAACACGAAAACGGTTTGCATTTGCCCGCCACACAAGCGGAGATAATTTCGAAAGAAGGCGGCTTGCTCGACGAGATGTTAAATTTTATCTTCCTTTGTATTGTTATTTCCTTTTCGCAATAATTTATTCGTGCTCTGATTCAGCCGTTATCGCCACGGAATTGTAACGATATTGGCGGCCGTATACGCGAGTAACGACAAGCGATCGGTTTGCATTTAGCGTGTACCACGCTGCTCTCTTTATTCATTGGCTCGCGTGTCGCGTAAAAGTTTTCGACCCGGCCGCTGGGGCGGTGACCCAGAAATTCGCCTCTCCACGATTGATTCCACCGTATACCATTGTAAATGGAAACTTTCACGTTATCGGGGATTATGTCGTCGGCCGGCCGTGAATCGCGTGAATTTCACGATTGGAAACGCGCTCCTCCGACGCGTTTTCAGCCCGATAAACGATGGGTGAAAGTTGTAGAAACAATGGCGAATTAGGTTCATTTACCAAACTTTTACTTCTCAATGGTTAAACCGCTTTTTTTTAACCATTCTTCTCCT